TGTCCATTCCAAACGGTTGAGCCGCCCCTCTACGACATGGCGTGTGGTTGGGGAGAAAAAATGAGACTTAGGAAAATAATGGCTCTCTTGCCCGTTTGGCTCGACGCCCTTGACATTTAGGTTCTCAATATGAGGCGTAGTTTGAACTCTCCGACTAGAGCTCGTTGTCGGAGTTAGTTCCGGACGGCTAGCATCAATCAAAGAGAAAGATGCCTTGGTCCTTCAACCCTTATCCTTCCTCGTGAGGGATAGGTCGCGCTGAGACTTTTCCTTGACGGGTAGAGGTCTTGGGGTTGCGGTGCATGCATCGCTATCCCCCTTACATTGAGGCCCGAGGCTCAGAAAGAAGGGAAAACTCAATCTCTTGCTATTTCCGTGGTCAGCCCGACGACCTTTCATCAAATCGCCTAGGGTCCCTTGACTTATGCAATGCAATATTCAATCCTCAATCACTCGATCCAATGCCATTTCCAGTCCTTTCTCACAGCTGATTCTCATGGCTGGTATGACATCCTCTCATCAACAAGGCCACCCCACGTGACCGATCTGGTGGTCGCTCTTTCAATAGCCATTTCTCAAGACCGACCCTTCGGCCCACCTTCAATCCTCAATTTTCACATTCCTGAATATCCAATCCTTATGACCGTCCCAACAGTCTATGCCCTTCTTGTCTTGAGATTCGACCTTTCTTTATCCTGCCCTTCTCATTCCAAGATATCATTCTCTTTCATCCATCTTCATGGCTATTTCAATGACCGACCCACCGGCCTTTTCCATCTCACATTGCTCATTCCAGCTCATTTTCAATCAACGTTTCTCAATCAATTATGCAGGGGACCCCAGTGCCTATTTCCAAAGAAATGACCCTTGTCAGGGGCCATTTTCGAACAACCTGGTTAGGGTCGTTTTTTTCCATTCTCAAATCGAACAGCCTGGTTAGGGCCATTCCTTTCCATTCTCAAGTCTAATAGCCTGATTATGGCCATTCCTTTCCATTCGCAAGTCGAACAGCCTGGTTAGGGTCATTCCTTTCCATTCTCAATGTTAGCGCCCGAGGGGGTGGGCCTTGAGGACACGGATTCCATCTCTGTCTCGGAGGTTAGAAGGTGGCCATCTCTTTTCGGTTTTCTCCGTGCGGTTTCCTTCATCCATTCTCAAGGCAATTTATTATTCAAGCATACATCCGACTTAGCGTCTAGTATTTGAGTTGGGGCTCGCGACCCCAAGCAGCCCTAGCCTACCGGTCGTTCAACCATAGCAAAAGACCGGGGCACCCCCTCTATTTTCACTCTTTCTGGTTTATCAGCTCTTGGCTATTTTCAGACTCGTTCAAACTCAATTGGATTAGGCTCCTAGGGAAGGAGTGTTCTTCACGCCCCTTAACCCATAGGTTCCCTAACCTCTCTTGTACTCGACTAACATTCACGTCTTGCTTTGCTCGTCAATCTGTACTCACAGCTTCTCTTCCCAATTAGTCTCATCCCATGCCCTGTGTCATTGTCTTGTCTACAAACTTTCGAAGGTAGCTCAGCCAAAAAGTAGCCTGAAAATACTTTCTTCTAACCCATCGTGACTCAGTCTTAGCTAGTCCTTTTTATCCCACATTCCTCACAAACTTATTTATACTATACAAACCCTGTCATTCCATAATTGCAAGAAAAGGAAATCACAATTTCTTGTCCAACACTTTACAACATCTAATCCCTATTGCTGTCATGTGCCCCAACTCGCTCGATTTCTTGCTCGTCCTGTCTTTCTGCTGGCTCTTTAACCCTTAGGTCGGAGGCCATGATTTCTCTTCTCCTCCTCGCAATCTCTCGTAACTCCATCTCACTGTAGAAATCCAATAGTGTGGCCACCACCTTTGCCTTCGCGAGTTCCCGGGTTTGGATAATCCACTCATGTTTGATCACACTGAGCCATTGTTGAAACCAATGGCTGGGCGTTGGCCCAAACTCATCCTCCCATCTGAAGGCCCCTTCGCGTGGCTGGTGTATCGGGGGCCGGGAGAAAATCGGAGTAGGAGGGGCTACTGTGGCAGAGCAATAGAGGTAAAGGGAAGCTCTCATGGGCATGAGGAAGCCATTATTGCAGTCTGAGATATAACGGACTGCACCATGGGCATAGGGAGGGTGGAAACTAAGAGGAAGGGCCTAGAAAAGGGCCTTAACGGCCACTTGACACTTGGCATGCTATGAAAAGAAAGAAAAGAAAAGAAAAATGTGGGAGAATAAGACAAAAAGAGTGAGAGGGAGTGAGTGAGTTGGCCGTCAGTAGGGACTGCCACAAGTAGGGACTGCGAAGTCCTTACTGTCCAAGAAAGGAGGAAAAAGAAAAGTTAAGAAAGACAAGAAAAGAAAAAAGACATGTCATTCGTTAAAATAGAACATTATATTTTAAATTGTTTATCACTTGCTAGTAATTTCAGGTTGAAATCACTATATTTTAAACGTGAATAAAACTTAGGATACGAGTAGTGAGCCCGAAGAACGCAATTGACAGGTCATAAGTCAAAATTGAAGTGAAGATTCAAGGCAATAGAAAAGTTGAACTCTAAATTTCATCACACTTCGATAAATTTTATAACTTAAAAGACGTAAGTGACATGACATTGTTATAAATTAAAACTCAAGTCCACAATCAATGCAATGAGACACTGAATGAGAAGGTTGAACTCCGGATTTCATCGCACTTCGATCAATTTTGTACGAGCATTGAGTCAGACGTATTTTACATGATATTGTGACATGCGTAAAGTGGAACTCAATCGACAATCAAGGCAAGCACACATTGAACGAAATGGTTTAAGTACGAATTTCGTCGCACTTCGATAAACATTGTAATCGTGAAGACAATTTAATATTTAACTCATTGGATTCAAAAAATTAATCAAAGATAAAAAAACATAACCCTAACTTGAATGTTTGAATTGTCATTGTCCGATTCGACATCAAAACTTAAGAACAGAGTTTAGACAATTACAGAAAGAGATTCGAATTGTGTAACGTAATAAATTGAGGCAATGACATGATGGTTGAAGTATGAATTTCATCACACTTTGATAAATTTTGCAACTTCAAAGAAGTAACCGATATACTGTTGTCATAAATTGAAACTCAAGCGGACAATCAATGCAATAAGACACTGAACGAGAATGTTGAAGTTCAACTCTGGATTTCATTGCACTTCAATCAATTTTGTATGAACATTGAGTCGAACGTATTTTATATGACATTGTGACATACACTAATTAGAACTCAATTGAAGAGTCAAGGCAAACACACTGTGAAGGAGATGGTTTGAGTACGGATTTCGTTCCACTTCGATAAACATTATAATCATGAAGACAATTCAATGTTGCATTTGGTATGAACTATAGCTTCAACTTTCCTGTCTGCTTACGGTTAGACACTTGCCATGCTATTTGCGCAGCCCTAAGAGGCGGCAAAACAAAAGTTAGTTCTCTTTTAGTCTCTAAGGCCCCTCTCCAATAAAACTATGGTGATCCTGTTGATTAACTAATGAATTTGGAACTTCCAAGTTTAAGCCGTTTCCAACATATAGCGAAGCGATTGAACTCTCATGTTACCATGAGAGAGATTTATCTTGAGCCCATACAATAAATTCAATAACTTCAATACTTACCATAGAGAGGGGTTGGGAGTTAGTTGTGTTTTCCCACCCTCCGAACCACACGTGACAATTTAACTTGTTGAATTCAAAAAAATAATAAAAGATAAAGGAATCGAACTCCAACTTGAATGCTTGAATTGCCATTGTCCGGTCCAACATCAAAACTTACGTACAAATTTGATACGATCTCACGAAGAGGTTCAAATTGTGTAAATAATGAGAAAGTGTGAACTTCATTTGAAAACTTAAAACTACATGCATACTAGCGAAAAGTTTGTAAACTCGAGATTTAAATAGGTATAATGCTACGAGCAACCATCATTTAAACTTTTGAAAAATGCTACCATTTACAAAAGCATCTATAGGCATCCCCCGTGTCCCATGAGAACCAAACCGGTACAAGGCATTCATTGATGACCCGAAAGCTAGGGTCACTGCAAGACTATGTGTGTCAGGAATATAAAGAACATGTCTCTTGGACCTCACAACCTATGTTGCACGCCCGGCCGTGGCCGGGGGGGTCAATTCAGCTGCGGCCTCGGTCGTCGGCCAAATCAGCCGGGTTCGGCCACGGCCAACCAGTCGAGTTCGGTGCAATAATTGTTTTTTCGATTTTTCACGTCGAAAAGAAAAAAAAAAAAATATGGGCGTGTAGGGCTGAAAAAGCCCTACACGCCCATATTTTTTTTTTCGTGTCCGACATTCCGCACCGCGAGGAAAAAAAAA